AGCGCAGAGCCATTTTTAAAGGTTGCGTCTTATTAACAGGCCCCTCTCGACGTTTTTACAAGTGTAGTGTCAATACACAATGCTCGGATTATCATAATATCGTTCGTCAGTCCGCCACGTATGCGCGTACAAGCTCGCAGAGTGACATCTTGCCACCCCTGGCTTCGCGAAGAGGAGGATTTAAGTTCCCCCCGTAGGAAACTTTCCGCCGTTGGATCACGCCAGATGCGTTGTCGTTTTCTCGCGATCCTTCCTCCCCCAGCCCACCTAAGGCACTCAATTGGGGGTCGAAGTTCATGGAGACTGTTCAACTTTTATTTGTCCTCGGCTCCGTTCTCCGGAACGGCCTTCTGTCGCACCGAACGCTTCCGGATCACGTGAAAACATTTCACAATTCTTAGTTTATATCGACGAACTTTTTCCTCACTTCCCGATATTTTCCTTTAACCCCGAGAAGGAGGTTGATTGGGTCCGTTTGTACCCAAGTTTTTACCAGCCCCGTATAATACGTCAACTTATACAACGAATTTAACACTAGATTGCTAAACTATCGTAAAAACTGGTACACCGACTGTCGATTACATTCAAAAACGTGGAAGCTCGAGGAAGCCAGAAGCTTTAAAAACAAGATGTATATCGTTCCCGAAGGGAAGTGTTCGTCCAAAAGCTCCGTGGACTTCGAGCCACGTCGAATGGAGCGCGTGGTCGGATAAGAATGACGAACGATCGAGGTGTATAATACCGTGTAACAAAACGATATTATCAATTTTTTCTTGCGGGGATCCCTAAAGAAACTTACCCCCACGATCCGGCGAACCGTCAGCAAAATCGAACGCAACGATTCGCCACGAACCTCGCGCCAGTTTCCTAATCGTCGGCGATTGAACTTCACAAACGGAATAATATCGTTCTTCTCCCTTCCGTGGAACAGCACGGGGCAGAAGTGTTCTCACGTGTCGAAGAGAGAATCGTGCGTGAAAAATGACATCGGAGTTCAAATGCTCCCTAAATAAGAAGTCACTCTACAAGGTGCACTCGCGCGCGCGCCGTTTCGAAGTCTGAAATAGCCGTGGTTGGAGGCCATCAATTTCCACGAGTCTGGCAAAAAGGGAAGAGGGTTCGTTGAAGGCGTCTTTCGAAGGTCGTTGGATGATCGCGTCGGCGAGACTCGCGATAAAGAAACATCGCTCGGATGACGAATGTCGGGGAGGGGGTGAGACCGGGACAAATTTCGCCTAAGGGTAGATAACGTCCGAAATCATTACCCTCGGTTCGTGCAAATTGTTTAGCCGACTCGACGAGTGTGTGTGCGTGTCAGTTTTTTTTTTCTTTCCTTGCTGTCGCGCCACTCGGTGATTCCAATTCGGGGGAGCAGGCGGAAGGAAAAGTGATTGATGACGAAGCGTCGGTGGTCTGGCAAGGAGAAAGGGAGGGGTGGCTTCTAGCGCGGGCGTGAATTAATTAAGAGAAGGCTGTTGCTTCTATGTCACTTTCTGCGGAGGGACTAATCGACGGGGATGACGAGGACGCGATCTGTTTCGCCCTTTATTGTCTTTTAATGGATATTAACATCGACCATTAAGTGGTTCATGATCAAACATACGGATTTTAAATGGAACTTTAATCATCCGGTGTTATTTCTTCTGCATCGGGAAGGAGAATAAGCCGATAAGATTCCACGGTTTCCATAGTCTTTTAATAGTAAAACTAGCTAACCCATTAAATGATGGATTTCAGATTTTTTATGTTACAATTAATATGTATGTGAATCCATGTGAACTTCTAATTTCTTGTACACTTTATATTATAGTGTAGTTAGCCATATTAAATTATAGGGGATGGTTCACTTAAAACATTTTTACGTAATTTAAATGGTTTCAAAAGACGAATCAGATGGTGGAAAAAATTATAGAAGTGAATTCAAAATTATTAGAGTTCAAGATCATACTATTATACATAGATCAATGCATAATAATGTTGGCTATAACATTTGCTTTTTTAAATAAATAAATAATTTGAGAATGAAAGGGTTAATAGGTATTAACTGATACCGACCACCAAGTGGTTGATAAAGCAGATGTTTGGATTTCAGATGGAACTCGTTTAATCTCCCCGTGATTTTGTCCGTTTACATTAGGAAAGAGAGATTCCACAGCCGAGGAGATTCCACGGTTTCCGGGCTCTCGTTGGATTTCAGCTCGCGTCGATCCAATTTGCGCGATGAGTATCCGGCATGAGGCCGGAATATTCGCGTAGGGGCCCGCCCGTTTGATGTAATTTGACGCGGCAGCACACACGAGGGTGCCCGGGTGTTCCCCTTTTCCCCCATTCTCTTTCGTGCGTTTTTCTTTTCCTCCTAATTCGACGGAAGGGCGAAGAGCAGCCGCGAAATGAAAAGCGCGCGGGCCAACCCTCTTTGTGCGTGGCGTGCGCCGTTTTTTCTAAAGCTACGCAACGTCCTCTATTTTGCCGTGCACACGATTGCTTCAAACCCCGTGTATATGCTCGAGCACCGGAAAATCTCGAGCCTTTCGGGAAACGGCAGACGGCTAATCTGTCGGGAGGAATTAGTTCTGATGTTTGGATCCGGCGGCGAATCTCGAAACGTCTGAAGTTGCCCCCGGGGCACAGAGCACCAGATGGTCACTCGAGCTACAACCCCCCCCCCTTTCTGTTTTCACGTTTTTATTAGGGTTTCAGAGGGTCTGTTGCTGAATAGAGGCTACTCGCCGATAAGGCAACTTTGGTACACCGAAGATTATGCAGGCTCGTAGGGGACCTCGATAAAAGCATCGGGCAATTTTTTGTTCTTGCTGATATTTGGTTCTTCAGGGTAAAACCACCCCATGAAGGTTAATGTGTCTTTATTTTCCTGTATATCTTCAAAACCATAGTAGATATAAAGGAACTGTTAACTGAAATAAATATACACAGTTTTATATTTTTTTACTCGCTTTTATAGAGCATAGAAACCTATACAGGAAAACACAAATTAACCTTCATGGGGTGATCTTACCCCGAAGATCTGTCCTTTACAAGCCAGCGAAATTAATAAAAAAAATGGAAATTTACGGTACCGCAGTTCCCTAGTGAGTTAAACACGATCGTCCAGTGATCAGTACTATTGACAATAATAACTAAAAATAACAACTATCTTGGAAGTGTTAATTGAGATCATTCACTATTTCATTCGTAATTCATTCTGTCGTTCATCACGTCGAGGATTCTAAACGATCCTCCCACGAATTTACCGCGCTCTTAATTCCCAGAACCAAAACAATGCTTCTAACGATCGAAAAGTGTCGCGGGTTATTTCAGCCTGGCTGAAGTCCAAGGGCAAACAGCTGCGGTAACGAGGCCCCTCTCTTTCCTATTTTTACGTCAGCGCAATTTCCACGTTTTTACGGACGATCGATCGAACTGATCGGGGTTACCGTTTGTCCCTGGCAAGCGATCAAGCGACCATGGAACGGACGTTTTCTCGAACGATCGCGGCCCTCCGTGCATTGTCCGCGAACGCGGAACAATCGACGACATCGTCGCTTGCTTTGTCGGCCGAAAATCTGCTTGTATTGAGCGTACGATCGATCAGAACGATCCCCCTATTGTGTAAACGGATTATTCCCGATCAGCTCCCGACTATTTCCAACACCCTGCTGTAGACAATTTTCAGACAGTTGGGATAGTTCGAATTCAGTTTCAAAAGGATACACTAAAGATTTTTGCAAAGTTTCACTTACGTCGAAGAATTCCTCGAGGTCTTAAACGTCCGAATACACCACACTTTCTCACTTTGTACCCTTTCGATGTTTATGTCGAGTATACTCGTCAAGAAAAGACAGCAATGTTAATTTAATAACGAGTATGTTCGTCGTTAAGCAAACAAAATTTGTATTTGCTATTTAAAGTAAAATTTAGGTAAAACACAAAACATATTATTTCAGAATATTTTAGGACAAAGAAAAGAAACAAAATCACTTGAAAAGAAAAGAAATATGCAGCAGTATATGTACGAGAGTTGTTCGATAAAACGCTGACTTTTCTTTGACAATAGACGACGCTCAAGTTGCAAGATTAATTTTGTCACTTTATTAGAAATTATTTAAATTTGAAAGCACATACACTTACACTGTTCTTGTCGAGTATACTCGTCATAGCGTAACAATAATTACGCACACAATTGCACGTCTTTAAAACAAAATAAAACACTTAAAGAATTAACACCAATCACTCTGGTTACTTCACGTAATACCGAACATTAAGGAACGAATAAAGAGGAAACACTCGCGTGTCGATCGTGCTTCGGATCACAGTAAAGCAGGAGGTACCTGCCAGTACGCGGGAGGCGGTGATCGCGTGCAATGTCAGTCGCTTTTGCCCGTGATATTCCGTGCGTCCCATGACAATAGGGAGGGCAACGAGCAGGCTCAACCAGAAAGACCACGATTCGTCCAATGCCAGAACTTCGTTTCCCCGGGTTCAGTCGGTACCTGGTCTCTTGACCTGCTTGCACGACGGCCACCGAACCATTGGCATTTTTAACGTTTAACCACACCTAACCCTCCCCCCACCTTCCCCTTCCCTTTCCATCAATTATTTCCTTTATCGTCTGTACTGAGACAGGACTAGTCCCTACTTTGTGTCGCGACCACTGTCAGGATTCACTTGAAAGTAAAAAATGTCCCGTTTTTCGCGTGACGTTCATACCCGATAAGAGTCAATACGGACGGTCGTTGGTGAACGTAGAAATGGCGACACCGGACGGACCAACGGACTTCCGGCTGGAGTACATCGGCGGGTTCGTGCAGAAATCGTTAAAACTGAAGCCAGAGAAATGGGGCAGGCTACTGCTCACCGAGGAGTACAGAAACGCGGTGATGGATTTCCTGGACAATCCGTTGCCCGCGGCGATTTTCGTTGTTCTGACGCCGAACGCGCAGCTGGTCGCGTCCTCCTCGTTTCCTATACCTTGCCAGAGGGCCAAGGGTGAGTGGAGAATATGATAGGGCATTTCAATGGCGATACTTTGACGAATAAAAAAAAATTCGTTCGCTTCTTTGTCGATGGGGATATACGGTAAATCTGCGAGGAGGGTTCGAAGGGTCTTCAGCACTGACAAGAAGAGGTCCTCAGGTGACTTTTGAATGAGGTTTAGCACAGAGCTCGGAATTCTGAAGCCAATGATATTTGTTTCAGTCGCATAGGGCCATTAGTTTATGAAATATTTCATATTCAGTGCCGCGGAGCCTTCGAACGCTCAGCGAGGATTTACTGTATAGTCTGTGCTACTAACGTAGAATTCTATGTAGGTATTTACGCGGTAAAAGTGAAGCAGACACCTCTGCCGAGGGAGAAGGAAGCTTGTTCCTCGATGCTGATTCTAGGCGATCTATCGTCTCGCGTCGTGGATCAGTTGGCCACTCTGGTGGATAATGTGTTCGCTCCTCTGTTGACGAAACCGGAGAACCACAAGGATCTACCGGAAATCGCGGTGCAGGACATCTGTAGACATGTTCACTCTCTGCGCGGTACTCTGTACCAAGTAATAATGGGGATTACAGTACCAGTCTCAAGACTGCTCGTAATTGTTAGTTCTTTTGAGTTTCAGTGTGAATAAGGTCCTTTTTTCTTTTACGTACAAAGGTGAAAGGACAGGTGAACGGCAGAACAGTTCTCCCGATGCCAGCGGGAATGGAGAAGGTAACGGAAGTGGAAAAGTTGGTCCGTTCCGAAGGGCCACAGGCCGTCGATCTGTACCTGAAGAGCGCGATCGAGGGTGTCGTGATAAAATGGGCGTATCTGGTGAACGACGTCGTTGCTCAGGAATCAGGCGCGGCCTTCGAAAACGGACAGAATCCCACCCCCGACACGGAGCTGGAGTATTGGTCCGCTAGAATAGCGAATTTAAGGTAGATAGTCTGTCAGTACCTGTAAAACTGATCTACTACTTGAAATGGATGAATTACAGTAAATATTCCATGAGTACTCCAAGTTCCTCGGCACCGAATATTAAATATTTCATAAAATATTCAATTTTCAATATAATTCATTAAAAAGTCAGCTTATTTAAAAGCTTCACTAAAAGTCTAGATACACCTGGGGACCTCTGCTTGTCAGTGTCGAGGAGCCCTCGAACATTCATCGAAGATTTACTATACTAGTTAGTAATTCATCATATTAGGCGAAGAAGAAGGATCCCCAGTGACTGCACTTCTTGTGTACATCTTCCTTTAGGTATATCTACGACCAATTGCAAGAGGATCGCGTGAAGAAAATGGCCAGTATCCTCGAGAAAACAGACAGCGCGTATTATCCCTGCTTCCGTACCCTGTTCGACAACGTGGTGTCCTCGATGGCGGAGGCGAAGGAGATCTCGTTGTATCTGTCGCCTCTGGCTAGGTGCTTCAAATCGGTCGAGGAGGTCGATTTCTCCGAGGCTAAGCCGTTAATGGCCAGCCTGATACACTCGGTCGGATTAGCCTGGTCGAAATCCACCTACTATCAGAGCTCCTCGAAGGTGATCATCATGCTACGGCAGATTTGCAACCTGTTGATACAGGAGGCCCGTCGATTTCTCGATCCGGCATCTATCTTTCAGAGCGACGTAGACGAGGCGCTGCAGCGCGTTCAAATGTCGAGAGGTGGGTGGGTAGGGGGGGGGGGGTTAGAGCTCTCGCAGTGAACTGCCTCATTCTCTTAAAAGTGATGTTCTTTAAAAAATTCCCAAAAATTGCCTTATTATATAGCCGTCACACTAGCACAGCCCCTTAATCGTGACAACCGAGACCGAAGTATAAAGACGAACGATCGTTTCTAAAACGATATTTAAATTGCTCCTGCAGGGGTGCTCGAGGAGTTCAAGCGTCAATTCGAGATGAGGAAAGACATGCCAGCGATGAAGCCTGACGCCCCGCCATGGAACTTCAACACCACCGTGGTATTTGGTCGATTGGATGCGTTTCTGAAGCGACTGGCAGACATAGAATGGCTCTTCGACACAGTCATGGAATTCTCGAAGCTGGAGAAAATCGAAATCGGCGGCATACTCGGTCGATCCCTAAGCACCAGGATCATTAATGTCTACAAAGAATTTCAGCATCTATTCGTGTCGTTCACCGTCAGGGCTGACGATGCCTTGGAACCGGACGACGAATCCTTCGCTAACGATTGCAAGAAATTTAACTTGGCAATCACCGATCTGGACAGCAAACTGGCTGCCATTCTGTGCCAGGCTTTCGACGACTGTGGCAATCTGGAGAGCGTCTTCAAGGTATTCAAGTCTACATTGTCGTAAAACTGGAATAGAGCAATATTTCTGTTGCAAATTCTGAGCATATGGATGACCCACTATATAAGTAACTATAACTACACTGTTACCTAAACAACTTAGTCGCCCTTATTTTGCCCGATCTCCTCTCCCTATCACAGAGCGATCGGATATAAAACCCTATGCATTTTCAGACCTAGCTCAGACGTAATTCAGACAGATGTTGGAGAACTCCGAAACGTTTCACTTCCAATTACATTCCTATGACACGTCTGATTGAACGAACCTCTTCAAGATTTTTTGAAAGTGTTGCACTCGATTCCGCGATTCGAAATCCAACATATGGATGTCTTACTTGATCTTTTACAGCTGATAAATATCGCCGGATCGGTGCTCGACAGGCCAGTGATAAGCAAACAATTCACGGACCGTTACACCAGGATCCTGGATCTCTTGAACGTCGAGCTGACGGTCGTCGAGGTGCTGTTCAATCGTGGCACCAGAGGCGCGTTAATTAATCTTCCGCCTCTAGCTTCGGCGCTGACGTTTACCAGCATGCTACGGCAACGGATCGAATTGCCGGTCCAGTCTTTCAAAGCTATTCAACACCCGTGAGTGACTTTCGACAGAGATTTCAACTTAACGTTGCAACGTTCTCCATGCCAAGGAAAAGCTCACGTGGTTCCAGGATGGTGAACAGCGAGGAGGGGCGGAATATAGAGAGGCGATACGAGAGGCTGATAAAGATATTCAGCGACAAAGAAAGTGATCTGTTCGCGGAATGGGCGGAAACGGTTCCAGAAACCGTCCAGGTTGCCCTGAATCGTAACATTCTGACTCGAGAAAGGGACACTACGTTACTTCTGAACTTCGATCCTGGTCTTCTGGCTGTTCTGAAGGAAGTGAATTATCTGAAGCAAATGTCGCGATCGGATATCCCCGATGCGGCTATAAAGGTCTTCCAGATATTCATCCACAATAGACAAACGATCCTCTTGTTTAATTCAGCAGACACTACATGTGGATATCGTTAAAATCGTAATACGATCGTCCCTGTTTTTAGGTGTACGAAAACGTGGAAACGTTCCGGAAATTCCGCAGCCTGCTGGGAGCGACGGTGGACTCGTACAATAATATCTGTAAAACCAGTACGCGGGTCGAGTTCCAGCTGATCGAGAAGGAGATAACGAGGATCGATTCCCTCGTGTCGCGTGGAGAGAACGAATTATGTTGGAAGTCGGACGGCGTTCTCCTGTACATCGAGGAGCTCGGTTCGTTGGTCGAGGGCCTCTGGAGACGAATCAAATCCGCCCAGACGAACGTCGAGAAGATCAAAGCGATCCTGGAACCATGGACAAGGATCCCACTCATCGAGAGGAAAGATCGTCGTAGGGATGCTTTATTGTCGTTCGATGAACGGCCGGATAAAGTATCGAAACGTTACGCCGAGATCGAGAGAGCCGCTGAACAGATTCACTCGTTGCTACGGGAGAACAGGTCGCTTTTCCAGGTTTCCGACGAAATGGAGGAACCGTGGCGAAGATACGTCGAGTATATCGACGGTATTGTTGTGGAGTCCCTTCGGAGAGCAGTGGGATGCTCGTTAGGTTATTATCTTAGGTTCTTTTGTTGATCGAGCTTTTCGGCTTACTCCTCTGTTTGGTCTATACTGAACTAAATTGTGTTTCTTTCTTCTCTCTATATATATATATATATATATATATTCATTTCAGGCTACTTGGTGGATAACATGGATTCGGTTGGACAATGCGAATCACTGTTGGAGGCAAAGTTGGAACTAAGGGAGCCCGATCTCTATTACGTTCCTTCGTTAGAACCGGACGATCCAGACGGTTTGGACCAGTTGATTCTACGTCTGTTGAACGATATAATTGGCATGGCTGCCCTGGTGCCGAGACTGAAAGACGATCACTCAGGATACGCTGAGGAATTAGAAGAGGATCCAGATATAAAGGGGATGAAGATTGAAATTTTGAATAACGTGACAACCGCTGTCGAGGACGCCACCGAGTTCTGTAGCAATTTCGAAGGTACGATAAAGACACACAGCCAACGACGTATTCGTTTGTTACGAGAATGTTCTGTTTCCTTTACGGCGCGATGCTTTTGTTCGAGCTTACCCAACGGTGGGGCCGAACCCATTTGCTCTCCCTCCCACGTCACACCGGTGTGATCCTTCGTCATTTTATTTTATCAGGATACGCCTATCTCTGGTTAGACGACAGGGACGTAGTGATGCAACAGTTCCTCGAGTATAGCCGACAATTGACGATAGAGGAAATGGAGATGGTGGCCGTACAGGATCCCAAGGGGCCGACACGGTCGCCGCCGAAAATGGAGCAATTCCGCGAGCAAATCGACCTTTACGAGGGCCTCTATCTCGAGATCGAGGAAATGGAACCGTCGAAAGTGTTTTGCGGCTGGTTCAGGGTGGACCTGAGACCCTTCAGACAGTCGGTCCTGAACATGGTCTGCAAATGGTCGAGCATGTTCAAGAGACATCTGGTCGATCGCGTAACCAGCAGCCTCTCGGATTTGGGATCGTTTATCAGGTGGCTTCTTTTCCCTTTCTCTTACGGAGCGCGGTCTCCGAGCGATCGATAAAAGCAGATGGTTCCCAACTTCGTTGGGAAACATAATGGATCTTGAAGCTACGAAATTGAAAAAAAAAAAATGTTAAAATCAACGTCTTTGGATTCGATAACTAATTAATGCTCTATAGCATAGTTTCCCAATATTTTCACAGTTTCTTTTTTGTTCAGTTCCCTCTTCGAGTAAACTATCTCTATATTATAAAAATTTCCAATTACAGTTGTGTATGCAACCGTTGAATCTTCAAAAGTTAAATTGAATCTATCCTCTGCAGTGTGTTCGATGCAAATAACGGAACAGAATTAAATCCTGAAATTCAACAGGCGAGCAGACGAAGGCCTCCTGCAGCCTATTCAACCAGGCGACTACGTCGGTCTAGTAAGCGTGATGGGTTACCTCCTACAAGTGAAAGAGAGACAGCCGACGACGGACGAGATGTTCCAGCCGCTGGAGGAGACGATCGAACTGCTCAAGTTTTACGACCAGGACATTCCCGAGGAGGTGAACGTTCTGCTCCAAGAGCTCCCGGAACAATGGGCGAACACGAAGAAACTGGCACTTATGGTGAAGCAGCAAGTCGCCCCGTTGCAGGCTGGTGAGTCTCTCTACCATCAATCCTTAACAGTATCCGAAAGACTCCACTTCACAGGCGAGGTGTCCAGAATAAGGGGACGAATCGCCGCGTTCGACACGACGATAACGCACTACCGTGAGGCGTTTCGACGCTACAATTTCTTCAAGTACGAGTGCCAGAACCCGTACGAATTATTGGACGAGGGCCACAAAGAGATTCTGATGCTGGAAACACAGATGAAGGACATCCAAGAGTCTGCCTCACTGTTCGAGGTGATCGTGCCGGAGTTCAAGGTGTTGAGGCAGTGCAGAAAAGAGCTGAGAATGCTGAAGCAGCTCTGGGACTACGTGAACATCGTCAGAAGTAGCATCGAGGGCTGGAAGACGACCCCGTGGCGAAAGATCGACGTGGAGAATATGGACATCGAGTGCAAGAAGTTCGCCAAAGAGATTCGGGGTTGGTGGATCGAGAGACATTGGCTGCTTGAAACAATTAGAGGATTGCAGTCGATCTGCTCGTCAATTCGATGTATTTTGTCTGAACATTTTCGGTACAAATGTAACTAGATGTTAACACTAGAACTACTGGATAAACGTGGAAAACGTTTGAAAATTTAGAAATTTAGAAATTTAGAAATTGACTAATTTCTTCATATCGTAATAGAAGGTGCAAATACATTTGAGAAAATGTATTGTCATAACATTTTAATCGTCGTTGTAAGAGTGTATTGGTTAGTCATTTTGACTGGTTTGGTAACTAGTGTTAATAGTATAGGTATTGTTCAACGTGGTTGCAGCGGGCACCGCCCACGTTAGCTATCCCCTAATGGTTTCAGGCAGTGTATTTAGTATTAATAGAGAAACCGATGAATAATTTAATGCGATCGTTGGAACAATTAGCCCTGGACAAGGAGATGAGACTGTGGGACACGTACGTGTCTCTGGAGGCGACCGTGAAGAATATGCTGACGTCTCTGAGAGCTGTCGGAGAGCTCCAGAACCCCGCCATTAGGGAGAGACACTGGAGACAGTTGATGAATAGCACTAAGGTACCGGCAGGGTTCACAGAACGGTTCAGAAACGCGAGGAGCACGATTTGGGATTACAGATATTTGTAAAGTCTATACATATATGTATATTTTTGTAACAAAAATTATTTTTCCTATGTCGATGTGTCAGGGATTCTTTTCGTGTTATCGAAAATATTCGAGTACAGGTTTAGGGAACGAGAGTTAGGGAAAATATGTTCTCAAAGGATCTTGTATTCACGAGAACACTAGAATGTAGTTGCACCGCTGTATATATACGCTATCGGTGTTGCAGAAGCTGGGCGACATGACTCCAGAAATGACCGTAAGTCCACTGTAAATACGCGCACGATTACATTTTACTCGAGCCCTCTGTGTCTTGGATGTTAGAATAGAAACGAGCACCTGAAACACTGCGTCACGAAGTATACACAGTTCAATTGTACAAGGTTACCCGTGCATGCAGCACTCGCAGCGTAAAAATTCGTACCACATCGCAGCCACGAAACGTCATATTTATTTTCTATCTTGTATACATGTGTTCATCGAATAAATTGGTTCTTAACCGAACACTTCATTTATTTCATGACTCACCTCGCTTCATCCCCACGTTTTATTTTAAATATATTCATAGACAAGATTCAATGCATTTATAGCTTGTACAAATGCATAAAACGTCACTGTGAAGCTCGATAAAGCTTTCGATTTGCTTTCAGTCCTAAAAAATGAAGAAATTCCTATTCAATTCTATGAACTAGATTACAAGTGCTATGCTTAATTATCGATGGTCTACTTATTATCGAGCTTTGTTTCACGACGAATCGTTGGAGGTGGTCGACAGCGTTACCGTTTCTAGGTGCGATTCGTGATGGACGAGTCGACGACACTGGCGGATCTGTTGGAGCTGAATCTCCATGACTGCGAGGAGGAAGTGAAGAACATCGTGGACAAGGCGGTTAAAGAGATGTCGATGGAACGATACATGAGGGAACTAAACGCCACGTGGTCGAAAATGGAATTCGAGAAGGAGATCCACGCAAGAACCGGGGCTACCTTGATCAGAGCCAGCGAGGAGCTGATTGAAACTTTAGAAGAGAATCAGGTGATCAAGAGAGAAAAGTTTCGCCATTGTTTTCCGTTCGAAGGAAAATCGAACGGTGTAAAAGAGTGAATCTGTCGATGGTCATAGGTGCAACTACAGAATCTGATCACCTCGAAGTTCATCGCTCACTTCCTGGAGGAAGTTTCAAGCTGGCAGAAGAAGCTCAGCATCGCAGACCAAGTGACGACGATCTGGTTCGAGGTGCAACGGACCTGGATGCATCTCGAGAGTATTTTCACCTCCTCCGAAGACATACGAAAACAGCTGCCAGTGGACGCTGAGAGGTTTGATCGAATAGACAAACAGTTCAAGCTGATGACGGAGGAGATGGCGAAAACCCCGAACGTCGTCGAGGCTACCAACAAGGAAGGCTTGGTGACCGCTTTGGATATTTTGCAGAAAGAACTGGTCCTTTGCGAGAAAGCACTTGCGGAGTATCTGGAAACTAAACGTCTGGCATTTCCACGATTTTATTTCGTTTCGTCCAGCGACCTGTTGGATATATTATCGAACGGGAATCAACCGCAAGTCGTGGCCAAGCATCTGACGAAGCTGTTCGACTCGATGGCAAGACTAAAGTTCGACGATGATGCTGACAATGCGTCTAAACGTGTATTAGGTAGATTAATTTTTGCGATTCTCCTGTAATGTTCATGGTAATGCTGATCGTTCTTTCGCGTTTCAAGGTATGTTCGCGAAGGACGGAGAGTACGTAGAGTTCGCGAACTGCGAGATGACCTGCGAGGGAGCGGTCGAAGCGTGGTTGAATCGTCTTCAGAGGGCGATGAGAGTGACCATAAGACACTACTTCAGCGAGGCGGTGGTCGCGTATGAAGAAAAACCTCGAGAACAATGGCTGTTCGATTATCCAGCCCAGGTGTCACTATGTGGAACACAAATCTGGTGGACCACCGATGTGAACATCGCGTTCTCGAGATTGGAGGAGGGCTACGACAACTCGTTGAAGGATTACCTGAAGAAACAGATCTCACAGCTGAGCATTCTGATCGCTTTGCTGATAGGCGAGCTCACGAAACAGGAGAGGCAGAAGGTAATGACGATCTGCACGATCGACGTGCACTCGAGGGACGTGGTCGCGAAGCTGGTGCAGTCCAAAGTGGAAACGTCGCAGGCGTTCCAATGGCAGAGTCAACTACGTCACCGGTGGGACGAGAAGGAGAAGGATTGCTTCGCTAATATTTGCGACGCCCAGTTCAAATACTCGCACGAGTACCTGGGAAACACTCCCAGGTTAGCGTGCCGAGGCGTTCACGACAAGCTCATTTTATTCTGCTCGGTCCTTTGCGTCTCGGTTAATGGGTGTAAACGTGACTCGTGAAATTCTGTGTGCACACGCTATTCAAAAGGAACACAGAAGACTATATAGACTGCACGCGAGAATTTGTAATAGGCACTTTCACGGTTTTATCATGGAGAAAGATTGATTTTGTTCGTTTTCACGTCGGTTATATGGTAATGATACAATTTCTCTTTGTTTCCTTTGCCTAGGTTGGTCATAACGCCTCTAACGGACAGGTGTTACATAACCTTAACCCAATCCCTGCATTTGATCATGGGAGGAGGCCCAGCCGGTCCCGCTGGTACCGGAAAAACCGAGACCACGAAAGATCTGGGCAGAGCGCTGGGCATAATGGTTTACGTGTTCAATTGTTCCGAGCAAATGGACTACAAATCCTGCGGCAACATATACAAGGGGTTGGCTCAGACGGGGGCATGGGGTTGCTTCGACGAGTTCAACCGTATCACCGTCGAGGTGCTGTCGGTGGTCGCTGTCCAAGTGAAATCGATACAGGACGCGATCAGGGACAAGAAAGAACGATTTAACTTCATGGGGGAGATGATCAGTCTGGAGCCAACCGTGGGGATATTCATCACCATGAATCCAGGTTACGCCGGTCGTACGGAGCTTCCTGAGAATTTGAAAGCGCTCTTCAGGCCCTGCGCCATGGTCGTGCCGGATTTCGAGTTGATCTGCGAGATCATGCTGGTGGCGGAGGGTTTCCAGGACGCGAGGATCCTGGCTAGGAAGTTCATCACGCTCTACACACTGTGCAAGGAGTTATTGTCGAAGCAGGATCATTACGACTGGGGTCTTCGTGCGATAAAGTCCGTCCTCGTCGTCGCCGGAAGTCTGAAGAGGGGAGACCCGGGCCGGCCGGAGGAGCAAGTGCTGATGAGAGCCCTCAGGGACTTCAATATACCAAAAGTCGTGTCCGACGACCTGCCTGTCTTCATGGGCCTAATAGCAGATTTGTTTCCGGCGTTGGACGTGCCCAGGAAACGGGATGTTGAGTTCGAGAAGATGGTGAAACAAGCGGCCGCGGATCTACAGCTTCAGCCGGAGGATGGGTTCATCCTGAAAGTCGTTCAACTCGAGGAACTGCTCGAAGTAAGACACTCGGTGTTCATCGTTGGGATCGCGGGCTCTGGCAAGACTCAGGTCTGGAAGACACTGTTTAGGACCTATCAGAACATGAAACGAAAGCCCGTGTACAATGATCTGAACCCCAAGGCAGTGACCAACGATGAACTTTTCGGAATCATCAATCCAGCGACCAGAGAGTGGAAGGATGGTCTGTTCTCGGTGATCATGAGAGAACAGGCCAATTTAGGGGGTGAGAATCCAAAATGGATTGTACTGGATGGAGATATTGATCCTATGTGGATCGAATCTCTGAACACCGTGATGGACGATAACAAGGTTTTGACTTTGGCCAGCAACGAGAGGATAGCTCTGACGCCTGTGATGAGACTACTCTTCGAGATCTCGAACCTGAGGACGGCTACACCGGCCACGGTGTCCCGAGCAGGTATTCTGTACATAAATCCGCAGGATTTGGGGTGGAATCCTTACGTCACCAGCTGGGTGGAGAAAAGAACGTCGCCGATTGAGAAGTCCAGTTTGGTGATATTATTTGATAAGTATATTCCTCCGTGTTTGGAGACACTGCGGTCGAGATTCAAGAAGATCACACCTATCGCTGACATGGCGCACGTTGAAATGCTCTGTCATCTTCTTCACTGTCTTTTAAAGCCGGAACTTACCGGCAGCGAGTTTTTGAAGGAACATTACGAGCTCTATTTCGTGTTTGCCGCTGTGTGGGCGTTCGGATCATCCATGTTTCAGGATCAGACGGTCGATTATCGGGTGGAGTTCAGTAAATGGTGGACCAACGAGTTTAAGCAGATTCGATTTCCCCAACAGGGCACTGTCTTCGACTATTACATCGACGCCGAGACGAAGAGCTTCGTTCCGTGGACACAACGTTTGCCGAAGTTCGAATTAGACCCAGAGATGCCGTTGCAGGCGGTCCTGGTTTACACAGCCGAATCCATTAGGATTCGATACTTCTTAGATCTTTTAATGATAGAGAAACATCCGGTGATGCTGGTAGGCACTGCTGGCTGCGGGAAGACAGTGCTCGTAGCCGAGAAACTTCTGCAACTGCCCGAGAACTATGCAGTGTCTAATGTTCCTTTCAATTTTTACACAACTTCAGAAATGCTGCAAAAGATCTTAGAGAAGTCGTTGGAGAAGAAAGCTGGCAGAAACTATGGACCGCCAGGTAACAAGACTCTGGTTTACTTCGTCGACGACATGAATATGCCTGAAGTGGATGGTTACGGAACGGTTCAACCTCACACTATGATTCGTCAACACCTGGATTACGGTCACTGGTACGACAGAACGAAACTAACACTGAAGGATATCCATAACTGTCAGTATGTCAGCTGTATGAACCCCACGGCTGGTTCATTCACGATCAATCCGAGACTGCAAAGACATTTCTCGGTGTTCGCTGTCAGTTTTCCAAATACTGACTCTTTGACGACGATCTATGCCTCTCTTCTGTCGCAACATTTGTCGAACGTCGAACACAGGTTGGTATCGATTACTAAAATACTCATTTAACCCCTTGCCCTACGATTTTCTTGGTGTCTGCAGACTCCAGGATTACATTGTTGTCGATAGTTTCCCAGAAACGAAAGGAATTCTGTACTTATTGCAACTGTATTTTTACTGTAAAAGTTAAATATTTTATTTTTATAAGGCATTTCATTTCGACTCGAAGAAAACCGAATAATATTCTCCTTTGTTGTATAAATTTTGAAATCGTCAATACGAGTCTGACTCGAGGGCAAGGGGTTAAAATGATTAACATCCTTCTCTCGTTCTATTTATAGGTTTCCTTTATGCGTTACGGAATTATGCAACAACATAGTGCAAGCCTCGATCCAGTTGCATCACCGTTGCGCCCAAATGTTTCTTCCAACAGCGGTGAAGTTTCACTACATCTTCAATCTCCGCGATCTGTCAAACTGTTTCCAAGGATTGTTGTTCAGCGGCAACGAATGCTTGCAGTCCTCTATAGATCTGATCAGACTTTGGATGCACGAGACGCATCGCGTTTATGGGGACAAATTAACGGACGAGAAGGACATCGAGAGTTTCTCGAAATTACAGTTGGACATCTTAAAGAAGAACGTGGAAGAAGTCGACGAGGGGGCCATTTTGGAGAAACCAAATATCTACTGCCACTTTGCAGGTAAATACAGAATGAACCACGAATCGTAATAAGTAGAGATTACTCTGTTATTAGCAGTCCGATCGAAAACGTTTTTATCGGGTATATCATGGTTTCAGGAGAGCTTTAATGTGATTATAGCAAATTTTTTTTGTCAACTCTTTTTTTTTCATGATTTTTCAGGTCACCTTCGATTTCCTTTCAAAAATTCAATTAAAAAAAATGTAACACATGTTATGTTATGATACCTACCGAATTCGTCTTGAAATCCTCTAACAGATAGGCGTAAAAAAATTATAGGTATATTTGCAAAAAAATGAAGGTGACCTTGAAAAATCATGAAAAAGAAGTTGACAAAAAATTTGTTATAATCACGTTAAAGCTCTCGTGAAACCATGCTATACCTGATAAAAACATTTTTGATCGGACTGCTAATAACAGAGTAATCTCTACTGATCACGATTCGTGGTTTACCCTGTATACATGTGCCCACAGATAAATTTTTAAATTATAATCTCTGAATTATAAAAACACAGGTGGCGTTGGGGAGCCAAAGTACATGCCAGTGAAGGAATGGGCGACGTTGCATCGTTTGCTATCAGAAGCAATGGTCAGCTACAATGACCTAGTGGCTGCCATGAACTTGGTGTTGTTCGAGGACGCCATGATGCACGTCTGTCGCATAAACAGAATCCTGGAATCGCCCAGAGGCAGCGCTCTTCTAGTTGGCGTGGGAGGGTCTGGCAAGCAAAGTTTATCGCGATTGGCTGCTTTCATAAGCACGCTGGAGGTTTTCCAAATTCAACTAAAGAAGGGTTATGGGATCACTGATCTCAAATTGGAGCTCGCTGTTTTGTACAACAAGGCAGGCCTGAAGAACGTGGGCCTTGTTTTTTTGATGACAGACGCTCAGGTGGCTAACGAGCAGTTCCTTGTTCTGATCAACGACATGCTTGCTTCTGGCGAGGTACCTGATCTGTTCGCCGAGGACGAGGTGGAAAATATAATTGCAGGTTCGACACTGATCTCCGTTAAATGACACGATGTCTCTCTATATATTCTGCGATCGATTATCTACATATTGGATTATAAAACGTCCACAGGCGTCCGTAACGAGGTGAAGGGCGCAGGTATGCTAGACACACGCGAGAACTGCTGGAAGTTCTTCATCGACCGGGTGCGCAGACAGCTACGAATAGTTCTCTGCTTCTCCCCGGTTGGCTCGACTTTAAGGGTCCGCTCGAGGAAATTCCCGGCGATAATAAATTGCACGGCGATAAACTGGTTCCACGAATGGCCGCAAGAAGCTTTGATGTCTGTGTCGAAGAGATTCCTGCAGGAGTTGGACGAACTTCCCGAGAGTTATAGGTATCGCCGTTTGAATATCTGAAGATTGAAGCAACTACCCAGAAGGGGTCTGACTTGCTGCTAATAAATGCTTCGATCCAGGGACTCGGCGGCGAAATTCATGGCTCACGCACACACCAGTGTGAACACAGCCAGCCGGCATTACTTGGCCAGCGAGCGTCGTTACAATTACACCACGCCGAAATCGTTCCTAGAGCAGATCAGTCTGTACACAAGACTGCTGAAGACGAAGTCGAGCGAGCTTCGAGCCCGGGTCGCCAGGCTGGAGAACGGTTTGGAGAAGCTTCGTTCGACGGCGGTGCAGGTGGACAAGCTGAAGGAGAAGCTAGCTGTTCAGGAGGTGGAGTTGCAGCAGAAGAACGACGCCGCCGATGCGTTGATCGCGATCGTGGGCGTGGAGACGGAGAAGGTTCAGAGGGAGAAAGCTATAGGTATAGATAATCTCGGTTTGCACACGCGATATATATCGTGTTGAATTGTCTTTCTGTTTGAGTTTAGCCGACGAAGAGGAGTCGAAGGTCGCCATCATCGCGGAGGAAGTGTCGAAGAAGCAGAAAGACTGCGAGGCGGATCTACTGAAAGCGGAACCAGCATTACTGGCCGCCCAAGAGGCGCTGAATACATTGAACAAGGCGAATTTAACCGAGCTGAAGTCGTTCGGTTCGCCGCCTGGAGCCGTGACGAATGTAACGGCAGCGGTGATGGTCCTCTTGGCACCGTCCGGGAAAGTACCCAAGGACAGAAGCTGGAAGGCCGCCAAGGTACAGAAATAAGGTCACCGATACTCATCCCCCCGAGAAACTTACCATCGTTTCCCATAGATCGTGATGGCAAAGGTCGACACGTTCCTCGATTCGTTGATCAATTACGACAAGGAGAACATTCATCCGGAGGTGATCAAGGCAATACAACCGTACCTGAAGGACTCGGAGTTCGAGCCGGAATTCGTTCGATCGAAATCAGCAGCGGCTGCCGGTCTCTGTGCCTGGGTGATCAACATCATCAAGTTCTACGAGGTGTTCTGCGACGTGGAACCGAAACGCAAAGCATTGGCGCAAGCGAATGCGGAGCTGGCCGCCGCTCAGGAGAAACTGGGCGTGATCAAACGGAAAGTTGTTGTACGTACGTCGCGAACAAAAACTTTGATAGGCAACGTTTTGGGCGAGTAAACTTCCAACCGAGTACTGTTTCGATGTCGCAGTCACTGGAGGAACAATTAGCAAAGCTAACCGCGGACTTCGAGCAGGCGACCGCCGAGAAGTTGAAGTGCCAACAAGAGGCGGACGCCACTAACGCTACGATCGCACTTGCTAACAGGCTGGTCGGAGGGCTCGCGTCGGAGAACGTCCGATGGGCGGATTCAGTGGCGAAGTAAGTGTTGCAACATGAAAGTTTTTGACAATGGAGTGCGATACAACAATCGTACGATTCGTTCAAGTTTCATGCAACAAGCCTCCACGCTGCCCGGCGACGTACTGCTCGTAACAGCTTTCATATCGTACGTCGGCTGCTTCACCAAACAGTTCCGACAGGATCTGCTGTACAAGCAATGGCTGCCGTTTCTGCGTGGTATCGAGCCAACGGTCCCTATCACAGAGGGGTTAGACCCTCTGTCTTTGCTGACGGATGACACTCAGATCGCTAAATGGAATAACGAGGGACTACCGAACGATAGGATGTCGACAGAGAACGCTACGATCCTTACGAGTTCGGATCGTTGGCCGTTGATGATCGATCCTCAGGTATAACATGAATCGTAGAATGATACAACACAATTTCAGGACGGTTTTCGAATCCACAAACGGTACACCTATCCCTATCCACAGCTCCAGGGTATTAAATGGATCAAGCAGAAGTACGGGGAAGAACTTCGGGTCATTAGGATGGGCCAAAAGGGTTACTTGGATGTCATCGAGCAGTCCCTGGCAACCGGATCGACGGTTCTCGTCGAGAACATCGGCGAAACCGTAGATCCGGTGCTAGATCCTCTGTTAGGCAGAAACTTGATTAAGAAGGGTCGCGCGATTAAGATCGGCGACAAGGAGGTCGAGTACAATCCGCTGTTCAGGTTATTATTACACACGAAGCTGGCTAATCCCCATTACAAGCCCGAGATGCAGGCTCAAACTACGCTAATTAATTTCACGGTGACGAGGGACGGTCTTGAGGATCAATTGCTCGCGGAGGTTGTGAAAGCCGAGCGGCCGGATCTCGAGGAGCTGAAGGCTGAGCTCACCAGACAGCAGAATGACTTCAAGATTACGCTCAATAGTTTGGAGGACTCTCTACTGTCGAGGTACGGCGTTGCGTTTAACCTCCTCGCGACAACACCAACCCTCTCAACTTTTTGGTACACGTCCGTCAGAGAGGGTTAAAGAGAACATTTACAGTTTCCATTTCCTTCTCCGTCACCCAACGATATCTTTTCCCTCCCCTTTGGCCGATCGAATCGTTTCCAACGGTGGTGATCGATGAAATAACAATTCTGGCCGCAGATTGTCATCGGCTGGCAGCAACGTTCTGGGGGACACGTCGTTGGTGGAGAACTTGGAGACGACCAAGAGAACCGCGGCGGAAATCGAATCGAAGGTCACGGAAGCACACGGGACCAGCCGTGAGATCGACGCCGCACGAGAATTGTATCGACCGGCCGCAGCCAGAGCCTCTCTCCTCTACTTTATCCTGAACGATCTGAACACCATCAATCCAATCTATCAATTCTCCTTGAAAGCTTTCAGCGTGGTGTTTCAAAAAGCCATCTCGAAGGCGGATCCCGCCGCGGACGTCGCCGGTAGAGTGAAGAATCTGATCGAGTGTATCACCTACTCGGTGTTCATGTACACGACCAGAGGGTTGTTCGAGTGCGACAAACTCATCTTCGCCTCTCAGATGGCGTTCCAGATACTGTTAGTGAGGAACGAGGTGACCGTCGGCGAGCTCGATTTCCTTTTACGGTTTCCCATAACGCCTCACGTCACCTCGCCCGTCGACTTTCTCACCAATACCAGCTGGGGCGGAATCAGAAGCCTGGCCAGCCGGGAGGAATTTCGGTGAGGGAGTTGGGTCAAGTATCCGAGAAATTTTTAATACGTCGAATTGGTTCCGTCGAGCTTGACGGGAATTCTTCTGAATTTATATATTGAAATTTCTCGAATCTGGGATAGAACTTATTTCAGGCTTCATTAGTTGTCAGAACATTTTTGTCCGTTCAATTTGTTCTTGAATTTTCATAAATTTTCGTTTCCCTTGTACTCCACGATACACGTCCGTTTTCGCAGTAATCTAGACAGAGACATAGAGAGCTCAGCGAAGCGATGGAAGAAACTGGTGGAATGCGAATGCCCGGAACGGGAGAAATTCCCGCAGGAGTGGAAGAATAAAACGACCATACAGCGTCTGTGCATGCTGAGGGCTTTGCGCCCCGACAGAATGACTTACGCGATCGCTGCGTTCATCGAGGAGAAGCTGGGGCCCAGATACATCGAGGGCAGGACGGTCGAGTTCGCGAAGTCCTTCGAGGAGACCAGTCCGTCCACTCCGATCTTTTTCATCCTATCCCCGGGAGTGAATCCACTGAAGGTACTATTAGGTGTACAGATCAATTCATGGCCTTCTTTCCATAGATTTATTTATTTACAATAAAAGAACCAAAGCACAATCCAAGCCTGAAAATATTCCCTATCACTTTCTACACATTTTACGTCATTTCTCAGGCAGTTGGCGATTTCCTTTTCGAGAAAATGATGACGGTTTTGAATAAGTAATTAACTACTAGAGCCACGAATTAATTTGTACACCTAATGAAACTGAGAATCCCATCCGTATTTCACGAAAATGGTCCCTCCGTTTTAACCAGGACGTGGAAGACCTAGGTCGTCGACTGGGTTACACCCTGGACAATCAGAATTTCCACAATGTGTCCCTGGGCCAAGGACAAGAGGCTGTCGCGGAACAGGCAATGGACATGGCGGCTAAGAACGGTCATTGGGTGGTGTTGCAGAATATACATCTGGTAAAAAAGTGGCTCCCGTTGCTGGAGAAAAAACTAGAAATCGCTGCGGACGGTTCCCATTCGGAGTACCGTGTGTTCATGAGCGCTGAACCAGCCAGCACGCCCGCGGGACACATCATCCCTCAAGTAAAACCCTGGTATATTCTATAGCCACCCCTTTAAGACTATCTGACGCTTAAACGAGACAAATTAGGGCATCCTCGAGTCGTCAATTAAGATCACGAACGAGCCGCCGACAGGGATGCAGGCGAATCTGCACAAAGCCCTGGACAATTTCACTCAAGAGACCCTCGAGATGTGTAGCAAGGAGGCCGAGTTCAAGGCGATCCTGTTCTCCCTCTGCTATTTCCACGCGGTCGTCGCCGAGCGACGGAAATTCGGCCCGCAGGGGTGGAACAAAATCTACCCCTTCAACGTCGGGGATCTTCACATCAGCGTGAGCGTGCTCTATAATTACCTGGAAGCGACGTCCAAGGTGCCCTGGGAGGACTTGAGGTTCGCAATTAACGTTTTAATTGATGAGGTAACCTTGATCTGTCGTTTGGAATTATTCTAATTGGTGAACCTATTGGTCAAGGTATTTGTTCGGGGAAATTATGTACGGAGGACACATTACCGACGATTGGGACAGGAGACTCTGCGTGTCCTACTTGGAGGAGTTGATGCAACCAGACTTGGTCGACGGAGAGCTACAATTAGCGCCAGGTGAAACATTTCCGTGTTAGAATAGAATTTCCAAACACAAATAGCGAATATAAATTAACTATCAGGTATGAGCCACTGGGTACACAACTACGTGCGAACCTTACGCATATAGGTTCACACTCATTGCCCAATTAGACAGATTGTAAATAACCTGTGGAAATAAAAAAAAAAGAATTGAATTTCCAGGATGTCTCGAAAGTATTTGCGGGGTGAACTGAGACCAGCAAAGCTGTATTTATTTTTTTTTTTAAGGATTCCCAGCGCCTCCGAATACAGATCTAGTTGGCTACCACTCCTACATCGACGAGGCAATGCCTCCAGAATCACCGTACCTGTACGGCCTCCATCCGAACGCAGAGATTGGTTTCTTGTCAATGACAGCGGAGAATCTCTTCAAAACTGTCTTCGAGATGCAACCCAGAGACGCGGGCAGTTCTGGGGGGCAAACGGTGACCAGGGAAGATAAGGTAACAGATTCGATTCGTGAGTAATAATGGAAGAATGAAGAGTCAAACCCCATAGGTGAAGCAAATATTAGATGAGATAATGGAGAAACTCCCGGACGAGTTCAACATGACCGAGATAATGGGCAAGGTGGAGGAAAGGACGCCGTACGTGATCGTGGCGTTCCAAGAGTGCGAACGGATGAATTATTTGACGATAGAGATCAAACGATCCCTTCGTGAACTGGATCTAGGTCTGAAGGGTGAGCTGACCATCACATCGGACATGGAGGACCTGGAGAATGCGTTGTTTCTCGATCAAGTACCACCCGTATGGGCCCAAAGAGCCTATCCCTCTTTGCTGGGCTTAGCTGCTTGGTTCGTCGACTTGCTATTGCGAATCAGGGAGCTGGAAACTTGGTCCACGGACTTCGTGGTAAGACACACGAATGCTTGGCACCAGAAACATTCGGGGAAAAATCTATTATCTTATTTCAGCTACCATCCTCTGTCTGGCTGGCTGGATTCTTCAATCCCCAATCCCTATTAACCGCTATCATGCAGTCCACGGCTAGGAGACAGGAGCTCCCTCTCGACAAGATGTGTCTGCAGTGTGACGTGACGAAAAAGAACAAAGAGGAATTCACGTACGTGAATTTGCACGACGTAGAAAATCCGTTTTCTGACGTGTTCAATATTGATACGTATCTGTTTGACTTTCCACGCTAGCTCGGCACCCAGAGACGGGGCCTACATCCACGGAATTTTTATGGAAGGCGCGAGATGGGACGTTCAAACCGGGATCATCGTCGACTCGAAACCTAAAGAACTGTTCCCAGCGATGCCGGTGATCAACGTCCGCGCGATCACACAGGATAAACAGGATCTACGGAACATGTACGAGTGTCCTGTCTACAAAACACGGACACGAGGGCCCACTTACGTGTGGACCTTCAACCTCAAGACGAAGGAGAAGCAGGCTAAGTGGACCCTGGCCGGTGTTGCACTGTTGCTTCAAACATAAATATTTTAATAATCGTTGATCGATTCGTGAATCGAGAGAGACATAGAAAATCGGCAAACCGAAGATTTGTTAAATGTCATCAAGATATCCGAATAAACTTTTGAAAAACACCCACACTCCATCTCTCTAACCAACTCCGAGTGACTTTTTTAAACTGTTTCTAAGTAACTCTGATCAGAGGAAGATTTTAAAAGTTCCGATTTCTGGGAAAATTACGGTACGGTTTTTCAGTCTTTCTTTGTTAATAATAGAAGATTACTCAGGAGGATGACCCTGATTTATGAAGGTCAGAATCATCGGGTGTGGGTGGTTTCTGGAAGTCCACCGAAAAATTCCTCCTTCCTCTAACCAGACGCTGAAAGATCTCTGTACACTGTAAACGCGACAATGTTGATCATTAAGTTAGTGTTCGAAGGGTGAATCCTGCTTTCGCTACCACTGTGTACATATTAATAAATACGACGAAACGATCCGTGGATGTCTATTATTAGCAATCGATCATTCACCCTCTTGAAAACGAAGAAACGATAATGACTTGGTCACTCGTCGAAAGAGACCCGATACACTGTGGTCTGGTAATTGCAGAGTGGAAGAAGAGAATAATTCGAGCGTGAATCCCGAAAGACCCATCCCCGGTGAAGGATATCAGGGAGGTCGACTAATCGACCGAGAGTTAATAAACCGTAAGACAGAGGAAAACGGACCCGAGGTCTCCGAGGAGGATTCCTGTCGAGGGACTGATTTCCGGGACACAGAAAGGGAGGAATTATCTGTCATTCCAAGAAAATAAAACCCTCCCCCGATGGTTCGATCGGATCGATATCCCCAAGAACGAACACGTCAGGGGAACCGATCACGGTGGCGTAAAAGAAGGCAAGAAACGAAAAAAATTAGAATCTGGAACACAACTAGGAAGGTGGGGGATTGAGGTGAAAAAATAAGACGGAGAAGGATAGAACACACAAGAAATATCCCCTTGGCCCGTCTCGGGGACATAAAAGCTTTCAGATTGCGGCGTTGGATCAAAATTGTATCGTGTTAGCGAAAGAAATTAGATTTCCCTCTCGAAACAGGAACGTCGAAGCGCGCAGCGTTTTCGCTCGGGGAACGATCTCTCCCTCTCCTCGTTCTCTCGCAACAAGAATGGAATCCCATCAAATATGCAGAGGTTATTAGCTCTCGAAGAAGCAAGGAAAAATGTTTGCCCTCGGCTCCTCAAACGCGTCGTTCCCTTCCTCAGCCGTGGAAGAGGATTTTATCCCGTGGCTGGGGAGAACCAGTCCACGGGTGTTTCGCCCCCTTTAAGAACACGGGGGAAGATAAACTCTTGTTGATCAACCTGTTAACTAATGCAGTCATGCCCCCCCCCACCCCCCTCAGGGGAGTAACGCCTTTATAAATTCTAGATTCTTCCCTGTAAGTAGTTAGCAAAAACCGCTCTGTTCTCGTGGCCTCGCTATTTATTTAATCCTCGACTTCGCTGACGTTCACCCAGTCGCACAGTGGGACAAATAGCGTACCTAGCTGGGCGAAAATCAAAAAGTAGCCTACACCGAACTTTTTATTTTTTTTTATTAATATGCAGGCTGTCCCGGTTTTTTTCCATTAAACTTTAACAGCACCTATATTCTGCAAGGGAAAATAAGGCAAATAAAAATAGGCTACTTGTCCCACTGTGGGTCAATAAAAAGTGAAGGGCGGGAGTAACTCGTGTAATTGAAAGTTTCGTAATTAATTAATATGATCTACCCTAAAAGTATATGTGCAATACCCACAGGCGATCGAAACCCAAGGTTTTCCGGCTTGCCGCCGTTAGAAGAGTTTGATTAGCCCGACTACAAAGAAAAGCCCGATGGACTCCGTGCGCAAAGTCAACTCATGAATCCCATCGAATCAAAGGGGGTAGAGAAAGAGAGAAAAAGAGAAAAAAATGTGTTCGTCCCTCGGATGGAGAGCCGTGATTGGCTGGCAAACACCCTCTTCGTGATTCGCGCGCGGATCGATTGGGGTCCCCTTCGCCCCTCCGTCCTCGTGCACCGGCTTCAATCACGGTTTTCATTAAGCCTCGCCACCGGACAACGAAGGGCAAGAACCAGGATCGAATATACCCCCCTCCCCGGTTATGTGTTCGTTGCGCGTCAACCTGGACTGGAAGAGCATCACGGTTTCGCCTACGCTTCCTGGGATCGGTTACCAGAAGAACCGACGAAGCTTCGTCCGGCTAATTGACCATCGAGCCCGCAGCCGTTAGACGATACGTCCGTGATTGAAGGAGTTTCGTCATCGAGAATGAAAAACCTGGATGGAGAGACTTTTCTCGGGGACGACGATGAAGCAGAGATGAGAAAAGTTTTTGAACCACGGTGTTCTTCTACTTCGTCTATTTCATGAAAATGAAATCGTGGACGAAGAGAGAGGGCGGTGGTACCGGAGATAAGTAAATTCATTATCTACGTAAAGAGTTTCTAATAACGAATAAGAGGTACAAATGGAATTCGTCATTTTTAATCGATTGAACGTGGACATTCCAATTGTTATAATATGATGATACTTCTTTAAACTATACATGAGAACTGAAACTTTCTGAAGGTCACTCAGGAGAGTGACCTTGACAACATATGTCAAGGTCAAAAAAAAAACTTTTTTTGATAATAACTTTTAAAAGGCGATCCCTGACTGAAACTTTCACAATACTATTCAGGGTGATGATCTTGACAACATATTAAAAAATCGTCAAAATCGAAAGGTAGCTCCCTTATTGTAAATATGTAACTTATTTAATCGTAATTAACTATTAAATCTATTTCATCTTAATTCTTCATTAACTCTTTACAGTTCAGAATGACGCCCTTAGATACTGCGGCTTTTCAATATGTATTATTCGATGAAAATTGCGGCCAACTCCAGGGGGAAAGAGGATCGAACGCAGGGGAGTGTATAGAAATTATTTGAACGTCAAGAAGATCGCTCTTTATGCCCGTCGTTGTATTATTTTCGAGGGTTATCTTCTCGTAACGAGCGATCGATAGAATATAATAAAGCCGGCTGTGCCGAGAGGCTTCCAAGAAGCAGGAGTGGCCCTCTCTTTGACAAAGAATTCTTAGCGACGAGTAATTCTTCCCCCTTCGGAATGCTAATTCAGAATGGCGAAGAATGGGAGGAACCGCCCCCCACCAGTCGACTACAGTCGCGCATGACGTCGAATTAATTCACCGAAATTCCCTCTCTCGAACGGATCTCGAGCGTTACCTTTCGGAATCACGGATCCGTGCGCACATGTCCGCGCCCGGTACGTCTGCATCTGTTCGAAACACGATCGTTAATGGGAAGGGGGAGGGGGCTCGTTAGCGTGACAAATCGCTTGTCAAAACGACGTGTCACTCGTTGACTCCTGCGATCGTTGCTCGGCAGGAGTGTCGACAGAACGATCGATCGGAGATCGATGTGGTTCACGAGCTGGCTGGCGAAGCAGAGAATTGAATTGAATGTATATGAAAGAAGTTGGAACGAATTTTTTTATTCAAAAATACGTAGGACTTATCTTTGATTCGTTAATCGAAACTGTTTAGCCAGATAAGTTTATAAATAAATAATATCATTATTATTAATAACATTACCCTAACATTCACCCGAAGGGGCGATCTTTGCCGCTCAAAAATCATTAAAAATCCGGCTCGTAAGTATGAAACCGAGGGGGTGGATGGGAGAGGAAGGATTTAACGACACCTCCGCGTCCCTCCTAAAAAGTCCCGTGAAACGGATTCATTTTTCATCGGCGTCAACGCGATCCGGTCCAGGCCCGCGCGTCTTTCCTCAGGTTAATCATTTTTAAAGGACCGACCGCAGGTGTCTCCGGTTGTCCCTGTGACTTTATATTAAAGAAAACAGAGGGTGGTCCGTAGGCATGCGAACGACGACTTTCCTCGCCGTGAATTAAATTTTCCGCGAGAGGGAAATCTTTCCAACCCCCTCCTTCAGTAGCCAAGAAGGGAGTGGGGGCAGGGAGAAATAATGAAAGGACCGTGGCACACAATTTGCTTTGCATACGAGTGACATTTTTCACGTCCGTCAAGAATTTGACGTACCCCAACACCATGGGCTCCCTTTAAAATTAGAATCGTTTCGAGCCACGCGGACGATTACGGAGGAGCCCCCTCCAAAAACGGGGAGGACCGTGACCAACTTGATAAATCGACGAAATCTTCCACGAGTTGTGGTTACTCGTCTTGGATGGATGTGGTCTAATAATACTGGAAACGGAGACGTGGAGTGGGGATTCTTTTTCGTCGGAAAGAACAACGTTGGGCCAGGTAGGACCGGACGTGTCCGAGGTGAACTGCACGTGTTCGCCATAACTCTCCATCGCGCACCCCCTATGAATTCTCCTGCTAATGTTGTGCCAACAGCGAGCGGTTTTTCTTTCGACGGCCCGCCGCCACCGAATAAATTCCGTCCCCACACCCTCGTGCTGCGTCAGGCCAGCCTATCCGCGGCAGACATCCCTTTGAGCGAAATTTTAATATCGCGTGCAGGCTCTCCACCCGACACCGTTCACGAGTCACTGATTTCCTACGTTCCGTGGGGCATTATTTCGCGGCTGAAGCTTCCTCGGTGCCCGAATTCGTCGTCGACGAAACAACTCGAACGATCGAGGTTCGTCGAATGAAATTAATCAAATTATCCAAGTCGTCTTGTTTCGGGACAATTATATTCTGGCGACAACATCTGAATCCCCTGTAGTCACGGAATATAATGAAGTTCCGTGAAGGATCTCCTCGTCGGACACTGGAGTGTCTCCCCGTTAACGGAGTGGCGCGCGTTTCGAGCGTCCTTCGACGATTCATTTTTCTCCTAATTAAGCGTAATTTATTTATACACTGTGATCCAACCCGAGGGATTTAATATCGTGTCGCTTCAGTCAAAAGGTGCCAAGTCCTTGGGGAGAAGGGTCGCGATAAACGCGAGGAACGGGTCTCCAGATGGAATCAGTGGAAAATTAA